CAGCTTGTGGTTTGGTGGTGGTGAGGCAGGCCGAGAGACGCTGGAGCTGCTAAGGCCGCGAATCGTTCGACGTGGTCTGTCTTTTCGACGTCGTCGGGAGACAAGCGGGCGCTTTCGGTGCAGCTACGGTGACAAGCGAGGCTGGCAGTATGGCAACTGGCGCAACTCTCCACACACGACGGGCCTTGCTTCTCAATAGCGAGGTTTCGAGTCGCGTGGTTCCTGGGCTGATGGCGGTCCGGGTTTACTGCAGAGCGGGTAGCGGCAGCAGCAAGTTCGCGATTCCAATGGGGCAACTTCAAGCAAAGTGGATGCTGAAGCTGTCACTGTAGAGGAAGCTGGAGGAGGGAGGGTTGGTGATGGATGTAGGAGAAAGTGAAGAGGCAAGAAGAGGGAGAAAGTGAGGATGGGAAGAAGAGGGAGACGTAGTAATTAAGAAGATCGACTCCTTTGGTGGCCGGGCTGCGAATTGGACGGGGGACGGGATTGCTTTTAATGGGCGAATGGGGACTTGTCCTGAACGCCGCCGACTGAGCTGGAAGGTGGACTCAAGCTCGAGCCGGAGACACTGCGCTCGGTACGGTGCACCGGTTGAGCTGCTTGCTCCATTGGAGACAGGCCAGACGGCCCAACACCAGGCTACCTTACCCAGCCTAGGAATGGCCCTGGGAGACAAAGACCGAGATCGCTTACGCAGTACTTGTCTACGGACCCTCTCTCCATCAGAACGGATACCCATCTCCATCCATTATTCCATGGCAACGCCTTCTTCATTCACTGCCTGAGGTGACAGAGAAGGTGACTTTACACAAAAGACGCCTCACTCACCGTCACTCGACTTGATCATTCTCTAGCCACCTTACTTACGGTACCAGGAATCTATTTCCAGCTCCCAATTTTGGAGTGAAATCACGCAGAGGCCCAGCCTGGCAGGGAGCCCCATTCTCGGTACGGGACCACGGTACAGTACAGCCCGATGATGCTAGAGTCGATGGAGAAAAGGGACAAGGCACGCGGAAAGGGGACCTCCATCAGCCCTCCCGCCGCCGCCCATTGGTGAATGGCTTGCCACGGCTCCGCAATCCCATTCGCATCTCGCTGGTAGGTATTACGGCGGCGGCGCGTTACCGCTTGGCCGGGGGTCATGCATCCAGACGTTTTTCCTTTGCCCCGAACCACCTGCGAACCCTCCATTTCCCTGCAACCCCTCGCATCCAAACCAGCCTACCACGACCGATACAGATACGCAACAACACTACTCTGCAGTAGCGTCTGAAAGCTGCTTGTCCTGCGAGACGTATCTACTTACCTGCCGTCCGCGCCTGGGTGCTCCTGGGCCGGCCGGTTGGTCCTGACCTGGGGGCGGGGCATTTCAGAAACAGTCATCCATACATGAGTGATAATAACTGGGCCTCCGCGAACCCGTATCGAGCGGCGCTAGGGAGCTTCTCGTTGGGCCCAAAGTGCTTGGCTAGTCCAGGCAAGTCAACCCTCGTCTGAAAGCAATGACTCCTGTCGTGACCTTGGCTGGTGCTGTCCCGTCGACCGGCCGAGAAAAACACAGCCGACCGGCGCCCCTTCTCGTGATCGATCGTTGCCTGTTCTTGGGGTGACGGTGACGAAGACCAAGAGCACACCCATCGGGTTTAATGGAGGTGTAGAAGCGGCGGTACATGCGCTCTCACACCATTGGCGACCGGGCGCGTGTCTATAAACGGGGGTATCGCATGTCAATCACCTTGCTGCGAGGCGACTGGTGCCAGCGAGCGGTGCTGGCCTTGCTGTATTTAACCCAAGTTGACCGCCCAAACTTGACATCTGAATATATCTCCTTGTCGCCCTATGAGTATTTTGCCAGCAAATGGCCGATCATGGGCAAAGGGGGAGCAGCATTCGAGGTGGAGCTCAATGGTTCGTGACGACGTTCCACTCATGTGGTTTGCTCCTTGCTCGTCCATTCTTTTCTCTCGGTGTGGCCTGCCATGTCTCTCGTGTATGAACCAAAATCACCGAGAAGACGCCAGTGACACATCATCTACAAAAAGATTAGTGGCGCCCGTCACCAGATGTGTCCCGCCGGGACCATGTTGTGCTGATTTAGACTGAAGACGACCGTCTACGTTGCGAATTGTAGCTCAGTGTTGCTGGTGTGTGTCGTCAAGCTCAGTTTGCCCCTCATACGCCCAGAGAGTTCCCCGCACTCTCCCCCAGCAGCATCGAGCTTGTGCGCCTCCAAAAGTTTCTGGGCTGACCGAATGGCGCCGTTCTTGAAGCCGGCGTGCGGCTGCTGGCCAGTGAGTTTTGCGCCAGCCCAGGCGGATGCTTGCTGATCGCGACGCGCTACCCACGACTGCCGTCTGCGACAAACCCCGTGATTGGATTGGACTCCAACAATGACATCGATATGATTGCGAGCTCCGTCTTGGCTTCCCACACCTCTGGTGATTTCGACATCTCGCCTGCAATGCCAGTTGCTGAGCCGACACAACGTCGAGTTCAGCCTTCTGACAGATTCGAGAAGAAGAAACGACGCGCAGGAAGTCGACCAGAATCCCCGCTGAAAATCATGGCTGCTTCGGGGTCTGGTGTTGGGTCGGGATTCAACAAGTCTCGCAGATTCTGGGGTCGACACCCACATCTGCAATCGCAATTTGCAATCGCATTACTCCCTGCAGATTGTGGGTTCGAGCCTGGTGCTTTTCGATGGTGCGGAAGAGAAAAGTGTCCCCGAACCCACTGTGATGACTGAGTGCTGATATGCGACGTGCACCTGCGGTATCCAACCAGTTTTGCGGCCAGCAGTGTCTCCGACGTCGGCCATGGTCCACCGAATAACCTATATTGAGTCGCAGCACAGTAGTCGTACCCACTTGACGATAGAGAGTCTGTAGATGTGTCGAATTAGGCAAGGCCGCTATCATGGCCGCCGACATTCAAGATGAGACGTCTGCTTAGTCGCCCACAGAGTGTTGTCGAGAGATTACAGTATCTGAAGGTGGTGTGTAACCACAAGACACTGGAGGGGCCACCCCGACCTTGGCCATGCGCAATGCGGAGAAAGGCTCTCGGGAGCAGTGCGCCTCCATGTGTGTGTGATGTGTGGTTGGAGGGGTCGAACGGAAGTTCCGCCCGCCCCTCGTCCAGAAGGAAGGCGGTGGTTGTTTCTCAGCGGATTCATCTCACCTCGGGTAATGATGCAGCCCAAAGCAGGTGGCTACCTATCGTCCTGTTCCTTCCCGCCATGTACGGTACCTTGAGAGGCTTGCAGCGAAAGGAAGCCGCTCCCTTCAGACGAAGATGCGCCGTCTCACGCCCGTCATTTTCTCACTTGAAGACGTGGTCGAACAAGATGGACCAACGCATTCCAAAACTTGTGCCAATACGTAGCGCCGGGCCCTCGCAGCCGATTCGACAGGAAGCCCGCGGCTAACCAGCAGCTCCTCTCTTCCTCCACGCTGCCCTTCCAACAACCAAACCTTCCATCCTTGCTCCTGTACCGCTGTACTTACCGCAGTACCCCGTGCCCCCCGGACTTCCCGCATTTTCCCCCAGACTCCCGTCCACGAGGGGTATTGGAGAACATGACCTGGCACACCTGGGATCCTGGGGGGCCGCTGCTGCCCGTGCCTCTGATGCGCTGCGCTGCGCTGTTTTAGGCTGCCATTCCAGAAGGCCGGGTCCCTTGCCCTCCACCTCCTTGTCCCTGTGTCAGTCTTGACTGCTCCCTTAGCCTCCCCTGCCATCCGGGTCAGTCCACATGCCGCCATCTCATAGGATGGACGAATGGAAGTTGGACTTGGCACAACCGACGACACATCCGCGGGGTGGTTGGCCATCCTCGCCAGTCGCCGCATTTGAATTGCTTGGCCCCGGTCCTGCTGATTTTCTGTGGGTAGCTCGGACGAACAAACACTTTCTCCCAATACGGAGAAATCAGAGAGAATTCTGGGGCCAGCTGCTTGGTGCATCGGGGCTCTCTTGGAGAATCGGCGTTTGTCTCGAATAGGTCATTTGGGAAAAACCACCGTCGATTCCGAACATCGTACGGTCTGTTGCCAGTGTCTCCGCCGACATGTGGGAATCCCAATTTGTTGGGAGGCTCTTGGGATGACAGAGTGTTGAGTATGGGAAGGCAGCCGTCTTACCCGCCGCGCCGTGGCCATGCAATCGTTTGTTTGCACTGCATCCTGCAGGGTGAGGCATACCTACACGCGCATACTCGCCTGTCTCGAATAGGCAACTGCGAGACTCAAGTCGACCTGCATCGTCAAGGGTCTGGACCACAAGCATGCGATGATTGACCTGGTATTAATGCCTTTAAGCGAACGGCTTTGCTGATCCAATTGCTCTTGATTGATTACTTCGCTTTGCGACCCTCAGATTTTCTATCAATGGCCGATGCTGCGTGACCACTTTTGACAAACTTAAGGGTAAATGAGCCTCTGTTCAAGAAACAGAGGTTTTGTCCGTTGATAAGGTCGGCAGTATCCAACGTCTGATCGTCGAAACGGACCGAGCTGTTCTCAAATACTAACCTGGGAAAACCAAGCGGTGTGCTGAGTGGAAGAAGTCTTCTACTATTCCGCCATCTGTCCCTGACATCAAATTCAATGGCGTAGTGTGCGCAATACGCTCGAGCAGCAGACGAAAATTGCAGGGCCGTACCTCCTGATTGGATGTCTCACGTTTAGCATATTATGGGAGGAGCTCTTGGGCAATGTGATTAGTTGCTATTAGAGATTGTCTGGCACATATCCCAGCTCTTGGTAAATGTCGCCAAATTGGCGGTCATAAGGTGCCATTTGACGAAACGCCAGCGGAAGAAAAAGCGTCATATCGTAGGTAGGTAGGTAGAGCAAAGCTGTGAAAATGGTTTTGTTGGCAGGTATTTGTCCCCGAAGCGACATAGTGTATTTTGTCTCTTTCCACATACATTAATGCTGCTTCCAGCACATGCCACCCAATAAACCCTGAACGCCTCCAGATTGACATCTCCCTACTTATAGATCCATGCTCATCAAGTACATTTCCATGATTCTCATGAACTTCGCCACAAAGGCCTCCAAGTGGAAGATGACCTTGGTGCCCATCCTGATTCTGTGCTCGTAGAACGCTGACCACTTGATCACCTCGGCCTTGAGGGCATCGTCAATCAGAGGGATAAGCTTGAAGGTGAGGGTCTTGAGAATAGTCGTTGGCGGTATGCAATGCGTCAGGAGGTCGTACAGCTTCGCCCGCACCTGGAGGATCCGTGCCGGGGTGTGCTCTTCGACGATTTCCCTCGCAATCTGGCTGATGAGCGCCTCCCAATCTGGGGGCGGGATTGGTGTGGTGTCTGTAACTTTCTCGCTGTGATGGGTCAGCTTTGGTGCCTCCCGGGATGACAAGATGACGTACTTCTGGGCGTGAACTGCCTCGTACATGAGAAGAGCTCGTCTCAAATTTCTGCCACTCTCCTGTGCTATCCTCATGTGCAAGCCCTTGACCATGGGCCAATTCTCCTTCTTTGCCGATACTGCCAGGACTTCGCAGATCTCCTCGTGACTGGGGGCAGCAACTCTGACCAGCAGCGTTCTCGATCGAATAGGGGCGATGATGTTGGCCGTCGAGTTGGCAAGGAGGATCAATCGCAAGTTGGGAGAGTACTTCTCCATCGTCCGACGCAGAGCCGCCTGCGCATCTCTTGTCAGGTGGTCCGCCTCATTGATCACCACAACCTTGAATCTCTGCTTTGCCGACTGGTCGACCTGTTGTGTCTGCGCCACCTCTTTCAGAAGGTCCTGGACCACGACTCTGTCATAGTTGCCGACATCGGAAGGTGTGATTTCGAGATGGTAGTTGGAGGCGACAATGTTGAATTCGAGCTTGCGGTTGCTCGATGTCTGGAACACTCGTGCGTCGATCTTGATCTTCTCTACGCCAGGTCCATACAGCTCCTTCAGCGTGGCGACGATGCGCGTCTTCTTGCCCGCGCCCGAAGGGCCGTATACCAGAAGGTGGGGGAAATCACCGCTTTGCGCCTGCATTTTGTGAGTTGCTGCCTATGACAGTTAGAAATTGGGAACCTACCAACGAACCAAGCCTATCTGACAGTTCCTGGTGGTATGTCAGGGCATCTAGTGACCGAGGTCTATGTTTGTCGACGATGAGAGCCATTGCGGTTGTTTGGTGTCTTTGTCGCTGGTTCTGTGTTGTTGTACTTTGGCCTGTTCAGTCATGGACTTTTTGGCGATCGACTGGGATGGAAGACGCGTTGAGAGCCAAAGTCGCGTTAAGTGGGAAATGCGCTCCAGTGTGGCTGGTGGATGAGGGCCGTGCTCCCCCCAGCTGCATGTGCCACATTGATACCCCCTCTACATACGGATGTACTGTGAGGTCTCCATGTCACTGGCTGCACCTGGACTTGAAGGCGCCTCTCTAATCCAAATCTTCAGCGCTTTTTTTTGGAGCTTGATCCATGCTTATTTTGTATCGAGGCATATTTCATTTCATGTTTCCGTGGCTTCAGTGCCTTGGCAGTCGTTGCACATGGAAAGCTTATAGTACAACCATTCCTATCCTGATATTGCTCCTAAAGTTCCAGGGGAATGGGGTATATGATACAGGCTTCGCTTATGCTTATCTTAAGCAGAAGAGCCGGCAGAAGGAGCGCTCGTCGGTTTGGTGGGCGCCTCAGCAATCAAGTCCGCTGGCGCAATCTGCTTTCTCGGCCTCTTCAACTCCTCCAACGTAACTCCATCAAGCTTCGTAATTCCAACCACCGGGGCCTCTCCCTTGTGGACGAATTCCCATTGACCTAATCTTGAATTAGTCCTGGTAATCTTCCTGAGGGCGGTATGTACTTACCAGGCAGCTTGTTACCGGCCAGGCGGAACGCATCCTTCGCAACAGCCTCGTGAAGCATTCCCTTGATTTCAAAAACAATCTGGTTTACTGCCACACGCGCAGCCCAGTGATCGAAAGAACCCTTACCCTTACCCATACGCATCTGGCATCTCGTATTAGCATCGATACATGACATATGCTCCGTCATCCCTCACCTCGTTACCGGAGACGTAGACTCCGACGTTACAGCATATCCTCTTGTACAGACGGTACTTCTGACCACGCAATCTCATCTTGATGGTGTCCTCGGCGTTCTTTAATTGCTTCGCGCTGATTCTTCGGTGGTGGTCCTTCATGCGAAGGCCATAATCGCCCCAGATCACAGTCGTGCCCTTGGTCGATCCTCCGGTTGCCACACGAGGCCGTCCCTTCATCATCTTCTTCGTTCGGTCGATCGAGGGTTCGAGCCAGTTGCCTTGCCTAGCAGTCGTCGACGAGAACGGGCGGGCCTCGCGGAGGATGTGTGATGCGACCAGTGGCTTGGTCAATTGGGGTCGGATGGCAGCGCCAAAGGGGTTTACTGATGGCGCCGCAGAGATTCTGAGGCCTTGGAGGGCGCCGAGAAGCGCCGAGGGAGCGTTGGGCCTCATGTTTGCGACTTGCCGATTGATGAGGTTGATGATAGTATCTCCAAAAAAATCCCCAGCTTTGCAGCACGAGGTGTGGCTGATGTGGCCTGAGAATTTGGGCGATCGTTTTTTCCTGGGGCTTGGATCTCCTGCTTCAGCCACACCCCACTCTCGTGCTTTAATGGAAAGAGCGACCGGGGGTCACGGACCTCGCGTCACTTTCGCGTAGGAAATCCATTACGAGCACGCTTCCTCGGACGCCAGGCACGAACGAAGCAATTGGCATCGGCCGTTGACCAACATCCCACCTCCCTTAGGCAACAGCACCACAACGGGCCTTTTAAAACCTCAATCACACCCCCATTGCAGTCAAACCATCACAGTCTTCCAGGTTGCTGCAATACCAATTCACAATGCCTGCTGACATCCGGTCCTTCTTTGGGCCAAAAGGTGGTGCACCTCCCAAGCCCGCACCGAAAAAGGTCGAGGAGCCACCCAAGAGCCGAAGGGGCAGAAAGGTCGTGGAAGACAGCGACGATGAGGAAGCACCTGCTCCGGCACCGTAAGGCATGCGAAGTCTGTTTTTGAAATGTCATTTTACTAAATGTACAACAGAAAGCCTGCAGCCAAGGCCGCCGACAAGAAGAAGATCAAGTATGATAATCATGGCCCAGTCCTGCTCACTTTGGCTAACCGATCTTTCAGGAGCGAGGCTGTGAAGGGAACGGAGACAACCGCTAGCGATTACTTCTCGTCATCAAAGACATCGAAACCAGCGCCCTCGCCGAAGACAGACCGAACAACCAAGGTGAAGACTGAGGTGGAGATCCGCACGAGTCCACGCAATAAGAAGGTCGCAGCCAGACCAACCGAAGAGCCTGCCAAAAACGGAACGACAGCTTCAAAGAAGCGTACGACCACGGCTTTCAAGAAGTACGACTCGGACGACGACGCCGATGCCTATGTTGACGAGGGCGACAATGACGATGATGGCGATATCTTCGCGGCGGATATCAAGGGACGAAACAAGCGGAAGAATGACGACTACGCGGAGGACGATAGTGACGAAGAGGTGCTACCGAAGCCCAAGCGGGTGGCATCTCGGAGTGCCGCCGCTGCGGCTCCCACCAAGCCAACAGCTGGCACCAAGAGGCGCAAGACCCCAGAGGAGGAATCTGAGGACTCTGAGGAAGAGCAACCTCCGCAAAAGAAGAAGGCACCCTCGAAGCCTCGTGCTCCTAGAGCAAAGAAAGCCGATGTCCCCGAGGACGCCACCTACCAGTCAATTCTGGACGACATTCCTACCGTTCGCCCTCCTACACCTCCGCCGCAAGACCCTAACACGAAGTTTGACTGGCGTAAGTCAGCTGCTGGAGGTGGCAACAGCAGTGCTGCACCCCCGAATGCTGGAGCTGCAGAGCTTCCCGAGGGTGAAGATGAGTGTCTTTCGGGCTTGACTTTTGTCTTCACTGGAGTGCTGCAAACGATCGGCCGCGAAGAAGGACAGGCTCTGGTCAAGAAGTACGGCGGCAAAGTTACAGGATCACCAAGCAGCAAGACGAGTTACGTTGTGCTAGGAGACGACGCAGGCCCGAGCAAGTTGAGGAAGATCAAGGATCTCGGCATCAAGACGATCAATGAGGAGGGTCTTTTCGAGCTTATTCGACGTCTCCCAGCCTACGGTGGCAGTGGTAAAGGTGCTGAGAAGGCACGCGAGAAGAAGAAGCAGGAAGAGGAAAACATCAAGAAGCAGGCTCTGGAAATGGAACGAGAAGAGAAGGCCAGGAAGGCCGCAGCTGAAAAGGCTGCGAAACAGGCTGCTGCTGCTCGTGGCACAACCACCACGACAACTCCGGCGGCTGCTCCGGTTCAGCTCTGGACTTCCAAGTACGCGCCAAGTCAACTCAACCACATCTGTGGCAACAAGTCCCAGGTCGAGAAAATCCAAGCTTGGCTCAGAAATTGGCAAAAGTCAAGGAAATATGACTTTCAGAAGCGTGGTGCAGACGGAATGGGCGGCACTCGTGCCATCATCATATCTGGGCCCCCTGGTATCGGCAAGACGACTGCTGCCCACCTGGCTGCAAAACTTGAGGGTTTCGACGTAATTGAGAGCAACGCCAGTGACACGCGCAGCAAAAAGCTTGTCGAAAACGGCGTTAGCGAAATCATGAACAATACTTCGCTCCTCGGTTACTTTGCCGGGGACGGCAAAAAGGTCGATGGGGTCAAGAAGAACATCGTGTTGATCATGGATGAGGTTGACGGAATGTCTGCCGGTGATCGAGGCGGTGTTGGAGCTCTCGCGAAGTTCTGCAAGAAGACCGAGGTGCCTCTCATTCTCATCTGCAACGAGCGCAAGCTGCCGAAGATGAAGCCCTTCGACTTTGTCACCATGGATATCCCGTTCAGACGCCCAACGGTGGAGCAAGTTCGGTCTCGTATCATGACTATCTGCCATCGTGAAGGGTTGAAACTGCCCGTGCCGGTGGTAGACGCCCTGATTGAAGGCAGCAACAAGGATATTCGACAGATTATCAACATGATATCGACAGCCAAGCTTGACCAAGCAAACATGAACTACGATCAAGGCAAGGCGATGACGAAGGCTTGGGAGAAGCACGTTATCCTCAAGCCATGGGATATCTGCCAGAAGATGCTTGCTGGTGGACTGTTCGCTCCCGCCAGCAAGACCACCCTCAACGAGAAGATTGAGCTCTATTTCAACGACCATGAGTTCAGTTATCTCATGATCCAGGAGAATTACCTCAGGAGCAAGCCCATGGCGCTCAACCACAAGGGCTACAACAAGAGAGAGGAGAACCTCAAATACCTCGAACTCGTAGACCAGGCTGCTGAGAGCATCAGTGATGGTGACTTGGTCGATCGTATGATTCATGGACCGCAACAACAATGGAGTCTCATGCCTACCCACGCAGTTTTCAGCACTGTCCGTCCCGCAAGCTACGTCGCAGGCCAGCTCATGGGCTCCAACTTCACTTCTTGGCTCGGCAATAACAGCAAGACCGGCAAGCTGAGCCGTTACATCCGTGAGATTCACTCTCATATGCGACTCAGATCATCAGGCGATGCTCATGAGGTTCGCCAGCAATACTTGCCGGTACTGTGGGACCAGCTCATCCGTCGCTTGTCTGTCGAGGGCAAGGACTGCGTGGATGAGATTATCGAGCTGATGGACAGCTACTACTTGACTCGAGACGACTTTGACGCCATTCAAGAATTGGGCGTTGGGCCCCAAGCCGAGGGTCGTGCCGACATCGAGTCAAAGACGAAGGCCGCATTCACTCGAACGTAAGAAATGCTCCAATAGCCCCCTGACATACCAATGGTCTAACTTTTCACAGATACAACGCCATGTCGCATCCCATTCCATTCATGAAGTCTAGCAATGTGATGGCTCCCAAGGCTGCCAAAGTGGCCCCAGACCTGGAGGAGGCCATCGAAGAAGAGGATGATGCCGCTGTTGCTGAACCTGCTGAGCCTGCTGAAGAGGATGAGCTTGATCTGAAGGGAGATAAATACATCAAGCAGCCCAAGCCTAAGGCTAAGAGAGCCACCAAGAAGGCCAAAGCAGAGGAGGACGAAGATGATGATGCGGATGCCAAACCTAAGAGAGGACGTCCCAAGGCCAAGACTACAGCAGCAAAAGGCAAGGGCAAGAAATAAGGACTGATAGTAGGAGATTGCCGTTTTGACCTTTGTAATTGTTACGAACAGGCGTTGCTCTCACTGAGGGAATGGAGCATGGTAGTGCACTTTAGGACTTGAGGAATGGTTGGAGGACGTGGGTCTTGCTCCAATGGATGTTGTTAGATATTGTATTGTTCTTGTACAAAGGTCCATTACTAGGCTATGCGTACTCATCTGACCTACCCTTCTTGGGGTCCTTCAAAGGCAAGATTATCATAATTCGATTTTGCACTCTTTGATAGTACAAGCTGAACAGCTGCAAGTGAGGCAGTTTCTGCATGTGCCTGGCAGAAAGATGTTCTTCACTTCCTTCTATAAAAGCTCGCATCCCCCTCCCATGGGAGCTGCCTTCCTCAAAAGCTATGGAACTTGAATCGCCTCCAGATCCCAGCTCTGTCAGGTCTATCAAATGTGGGCAGGCCTTTTAGAAATTCAGAGCGCAACTTTCTTCAGGGGTCCGGCCCGTCTCTCACAGGAAAATTCACCTAATCATTGCTCACTTGTCACCTCTAGGTGAAATCTCCTGCTTTGTTGCTCACAATACCCTCGGCCACACTGTCCGCCATCACAAAGGATAGCGAAATGGGCAAGCGCAAGACCTGGCCCAACAAAACTTGTGGAGGAATTGCGAAGGTTTGCAAAGGTACTTTGACTCCCTATTCACCACTACCTCTTCACTCTCACTTTTTCCATGTCCCGCTTTCCATTTCAGTTGGGCTGCTCGTTTCTACTACTCACTCAACTTTTTCTCCAATCATTACAATTAATATTTCTCTCCCTCCTTCCTTATACATTGAAGACAGTCTTTCATCCTGTCGACTGCAGTGGGATATCACCACATCCAATTTCATCATTGGGGGGCACCGCAGCTTCGACGTATAGCTCGACCTTCTGCTGACATTTCCCGGTATTCCTCGTACGATAGTTCTCATCTCGAAAAGAAAGCTGCCTCAAAAAGACCCCGAGAGGCTTGCTCTAAAAAATCTGTTGGGATCTTCTTCTGCGCTTTCCCGACGAGGGGAGGCGGATCAGTACTCAATGGGCCGACGAAGTAAGTGCTCAAATACCTCGCCTTCCCTCTACGATGGACCCAATTGCCTCTGATAAACATCTAACGAGCTCTCATAAGCGATACCAGAGGCAGTGGCCGCCGTCCGCGCTCACAGTCCTCATCAGCTCTCGATGATCGAGGAGGCTTCCCGCGAATCGACCCCTATGATTGCGACCGGAGGCAATCCAGTTGTTTCTGCCGATCACCTTCACGACTACCCTACTGAAGAAATTACTTACGAGAAGTTCGACAGTTCTGACATTCTTGAAGAGTATGTGCACCAGAACACCGACTACCGCTTTGATGAGGGTGCTTCCAATGTTGGCCCCCTAGGCTTCCGCCAAGGGGACCTAATCCAGCACAACGCAGACACTGTTTTGTACGGTAATTGGGAACAGGACAATAACCTGGAAGACTTCGACCGCTGTTCCAGTATGTCTCAGAGCTTCGGTATGACTTTGTACGACGCTGACTGAATCAGCTCCCGACACGGTGATTCATTACGATATGGACGAAATGGAAGCAGCTTGCCAGGCTCGCTCTTCGTCGCCGACTGCATCATGCCAACAGTCTATAGAAATAGGTAACATCGTGTGGAACATCTCTTAATTGTTCTCCCTTGTTCCCATACAAACTGGCGCTTCCCTTATTACAACCCCTGCCTCGCACTCATCCCTGCGTTTCTCACCAACACAAATGATGTTTGCATTCACCATCGTCCAGAACAGATGCTGATACCGCTTAGGTTCAAGCACTCAGAATGCTAGCTTGAAGATGGGTAGCTCATCTAGAGCGAAGGATTGGTCGATGTTCCAGAGCAATCTGGTCGACTATGGCCCGGACGACCCCAGCCCGCGACTTCCAGGCTGCTCTGCCGGCCACCCCTACAATAAGACGTGGAAACTGACGGATTCAATGATGATGGCTTACAATGCCATGCGAGGCCCCCCTTTGCTGCCGGGAAACGATCCTCTGCGCAATTGGATGGCCATCAAGGCGACAGAATCCATGAACGAGTCCACGATGGGGTCCACAACGGCCGAGTCGTTTCAAACATCTCGAGAAACGGCAAGCCAGGGCACAAGATCTGTGACGCAGACATCGCCGTCAAAGGATACAACTCAGACATCTGGACTGAGTTCTGGGGAGAAACGAGAGATGGAGGATTATGCCAAGTAAGCTCCCACGTTCAGGGAAGGACTTTCATTTAACCATCATACAGGATGCTGAAGGAGGCCAACATGGCTACAAAAGAGTATGCACCTCCTGAGACGGATCGCAACCCAGCCTACGAAGTGCCCCGTCCCAGATATCTTCACGTCTCGCCCAAGTTCAACAACTTCAAGTTTGAAGACTACATGCCTCCCGAGGTTTCTATGCCTGAGTCGGCTTACAAGCCGCCATACGATATTAATCGTGACTTCGGTAAGAGTAGCCTGACTTTTCTCGTGGACACGTTCTCATCTGTGACAGCTGATGAGTATGACATCTCGGATGACGAGGGTGACCCTGAATCGGGACGTGTATCGCCGTGCACATTCCGTCTACTAGCTGAAAGTTGCTCTCGACGAGACCCTCAGACAAATCAAGTCTTTATGGCGGAGGATGTATGTGGCCCGTTACTTCCCCTCCCTGAGGCTCTGACTGACTCTGTCCCAGGCTCAACGCATGCGCCCGGAGACGCCCCTTGAGGATAATGACAGACATCTCGTCATCGACCGACTTACGCTCTCCTTTGAGCTCCAGAGAGACGTCAACGATGGGGGTTGGATCACACCGTGCTACTCAGTAGAATCAGAGCCCTCCATCATCTTCAGTCCTCCAGGCAACTACCACTAGACCCCCCCCGGACTGGACCTTTCTAACCTCTTCAGGCGTTACCCTCAAGCACAAGATGCGCAACTGGTGGTTCGGCCTCTTTGACCGTATGGATCCGATTGCGGCGCGCCGCTTCCGCAAAGTCCAGTTCCGCGAGGCCAACGACCCTATTACGCCCCTCGAGACGACCTCGGTCCGCTCGGTCGTCTCCTCCAGTACGTCCAGCGATGACGGGATCGGCAACTACAGGAAGTCCTACACTGATGCTGAGGTCCTCGAAGCGCTGCATTCGCCCACCAGTCGCCGTGTTGCCGGCGTCGCCCCCCAGAACGCCCAGCTCATCATCTCGCAGCGCTGGCAGACTGTCACCCGATGGAAGAACCAAGATGCAGAGATGACGCGTGAGAACGACAACATGCGCGGCGCCATTGAGCGTGCCAAGATGGAGCTGCGAGAGATCCGGCTGGCGGTTGACCACATCGTGCAGAAGAAGGCCACGGAGGACATGGCGATGCGGCAGCGCAATCACAGGCGGATCCTTCGCCAGGTTTCGGCACACCTCCACGAGCTGCGGTACGAGATCCAGAGCAAGTTCGACGCTCTCAAGCATGCACAGACACAAAACCAGAGCATGAAGGCTGAGCTGGCGCTGCTTGAGTGGCAAATCAAGAATGAATGCGCGAGGGCTGAAATGGCGAGCCCCGATGAGGTCCGCAAGGCGGTCTCGGAGCACTTCCGGGATAAGATGGTCGCTCTTGAGCTTGCAGACTGCTTCTGAGAGTGAAATTCACTATCGCATCATTGATGCCTGGCCGGTTCCGCTTCACTCGACCTTGTTGAGAGTGTAGACTTCCTTGGCCGTAGGAGACCAGGGTTCTCTCTGTTTCCTCGTCTTTCGGCCGACGAGATGGTTGGCGAAAGTCGAGAAACCAATCACTACCGGATGCATTCCCGAGGGTGAGCCGAGTATTAGGTATTGCCAAGCTGGGAATTATCAATCAGTGGAACCGTTGACTAACACGGCGCGGCAGGCTGAAAGCGGGATTGGCAATTGTTGACATGCTCTTCCCTCCCGCTCTTTTTCTTGTTTGTCTTGCGCAATGTTTCGGCATAGGATATGCCCTTATTTGAGTACGATACCCCAAGGGCGAGGAAGACTTCGACGTCGAAATTGCCAACTCCCCCCCGCGAATTGTGTAGATAATCAACATCGAGAGTGTATCACGGAAATGAATAGTCATTGAAGATTCAATGTGATGTAGTGGCAGGGAGATCAAAGTCTCCAAGGCGGTGATTAAATTGTACCAGAGCTTTTGAGAAGAATCGTGAGACCCCGGAATCCCTCTCCGGGGCCTATGTACACAACATATCCAGATTCTATCCTTTTTCTTTTCTTCCAGTGAGGGCCAACCCATTTTGGCCCCCAATCCGCCATGCAATAGTAACGTCATGAGAGGAGCATTATACACCAACCGGAACGCCCAGTTCGCTGTTCCGGGAATCGACACAGTATCGTAGAACATAATGGTACAAAGGGGGCTGCGGCCGCCGAAGCCTCCCAGCGGCAGGCCAGCCCCATGAAATCTTTTGGTGAGAAGGACCCCCGCACATCAGCAGGGGCCGAGTGCTGGAGATCGCGAACGAGTCAGACGGTTTAAGCGTTCTTGACGACGCCGACCTTGGCGGCGCGCAGCACACGGCCGTTGAGCTTGAATCCCTTCTGCTGGACGTGGAAGACGGTGTTGTCCTCCTTGTCGGGCTGGGGCGCCATGAAGGTGGCGTCGTGCTCGTTGGGGTTGAACTTCTCGCCCTCGGGGTTGACGCGCTCGATGCCGTGCTTCTTGAGGGTGGACATGAGGATGTCGTCGGTCATCTTGAGACCCTCGTACAGGTTGACGAGGTCCTGGAGGTCGCCAGACTTCTCGGTGGCGTTGATCTTCTCCTGGGGCACCATGGAGAGCGCGCGATCCAGGTTGTCGACGCTGTCGACGAGGTCCTTTGCGAACTTTTGGAGGGCGAAGTCGCGGGCCTGCTTCACCTCGCGCTGTGTGCGGTCCTGGAGGTTGCGGAAGTCGGCGATGGTGCGCAAGCACTTGTCCTGTTGAGGGTTGCCGTGTTAGCCACTTTTTTCTCGGGAAGCCGACATCGGTAGGAGGGGTTAATTGCGCATCGACGAACCTTCCAGTCAGCGGCCTCCTTCTCCTTGGCCTCGAGCTGCTTCTTCAACGGTGACTCGGCGTCCTCAGCCTTCTCACCCTCCTTGGGCGCCTCGGCGTCCTTGGTCTCCTTCTCCTTAGCGTCGCTGTACCATCTTGCGACGGCAGGTTGAGAGGCCCGTATCCTGAAAGCCGGGGAAGTCTGGAACTGGTTCTGGAAGACAGACTTGGGGGTCTGGGTGCGCATGCCGGAGCGCACAGCGCGGGAAGAGGTGGCGATAGCTTGTCTGAACATTTTGGCGTTTGTGGTTGTTGAGATTGGGGGGCGCAGGAGGTGGAAGATTTAGAGGGGAGGGTCGGGAGGCGATACAGGGACTGTCGCGTGTGCTGAGGAGCTTTTAAGAGGGAATGAAATTTTATCGGAATGGCCCTCAGTGACGGATGGACTGCCGTTGGCCCCCGGCCACCCGGGAAACTTTTGCGCCCAATCAAGTCCCGGGATGGAGCTCCATCTCGGGGCGGATGAACGGAGGGGCCGGCGGCGAGCTTTATCGATAAGACTGGTGCCAAGGCAAGGCCAGTGTGGTTTAGCACGCCAGGCACGACGCTGCACGGTTGCTGGACCTTCCAATTGGGAGAGCGCGACTTCACCTCGCCTCCTGTCGCAAAAATATCCTTTCAGCCTTCCCCCACTGCCTAGCTATCGCCAACTCATCCTCGTACAACCCACCCACGTCGATACTCGGTCACAAAGGCGGCTTTATCAAGCACCCGCGCACTCGATCTCGGTGCTACTATTTGCTCTTGCGACGTTTCTCAGCCCTTCACAACTTGCAAATTAGACCTCGATTCGGCGGAGTAGGCGCGATGGAGTACGAACCGATGCTGTTGGACGGCGAGTCCGGGGGGCCTCAGATCAAGATTTCGGGGGTAAATCACACTGCTTCATCGATGGAATGAAGTTCGTGGTGCTAACAGTTTATCTGTCTGGTTAGGCCGACAACATCCACGTCAACTTTGACCTCTCGAACTGCGATCTCTCCTTTGCCAACTCGCTGCGGCGCGTCATCCAGGCCGAGGTTCCGACAATCGCCATCGACCTGGTCGAAATCGAAGCCAATACCTCTGTTCTTGCCGACGAGTTCATTGCCCATCGTCTGGGTCTCATTCCCCTACATTCGAAGGATGTCAACAGCTTATTGTACTCCCGTGATTGCGACTGCGAGCAGTACTGCGACAACTGCAGTGTCAAGCTTACTCTGCACGCACGCTGCACCTCCGACGAGACGATGAAGGTTTATGCGAGCGACCTGATTGTCGATAGTTTCAGACAAAATGGCACCGTAGGAAACCCTGTCATCATGGATCCGGAAGGTCAAGGCTCTCTGATCGCAAAGTTGCGCAAGGGTCAGGATCTCAAGTTGTCGTGCATTGCAAAGAAGGGAATCGCCAAGGAGCACGCGAAATGGATGCCCACGGCTGCTGTCGGCTTTGAATACGACCCTCATAACAAGCTGCATCACTTGGACATGTGGTACGAGGAGGATGCGAAGGCGGAGTGGTAAGTCTCTCAAGGTTTGCAGCGCGCAGTGTGTTATGGCGCTAAACATGTTTCCCTAGGCCTGAGAGCAAGTACGCGAAGATGGAGGACCCTCCTCAAGAGGGAGAAGCGTTCGACTACGACGCAGTACCTGAAAAGTTCTACTTTGAGGTCGAAGGCGTTGGAAGTCTAGAGCCCGACCAAATCATCCAGGAGGGAATCAAGATCATCCAGGAGAAGATGGCACTGTTGCTGCACATGCTCACCGGCGAGGCTGATGACGATGGTATGGGCGACTTTGACGGCCCACGTAGCCCCAACCTGGACATGGACGGTGGCAACCCCTGGGGACAGGACCAAGGTTACACCACCCCGTTCAACGGAGGCGCTCAGGGGTCATGGGGCGGAAGCGCGACGACTCCGTACGCTACCACCACACCCTACGGTGCTTCTGGCCAGTCTGGCTGGAACTGAGCATGATGATCCACACAATAAAGGCGTTAATGATCTCTTGAAGATGGGCGGCAATGGAGTTTTGCGAGTTTTGGGGACAGCCAGCATCAGCATGGACTGGCCTATTCACATAAAAAGACATTTGGGGTTCGCTGTATGAGCATGAGACTGGACCAGCACCTTGCGACGGGAGCATATCAGGGGTAAGAGGGGAGACGGTTTTGATTCTTTGCCAAAGTGGCTTTCCTGGCATATAGACTTGGCTCTGATACTGGCCTGGACGTCCGCGAGGGATGACGTCGAAAACTGAAAAGGCGATGCAAGAAAAAATGATACGAAAGGTGAGGGTGAAGGGGCCGAAAAATACAAGTAATCTGAAGACTCCAACCCTTCAAGGCACCCCTAATACAACTCACAAAACAGCCCAAATATGTGTCTTTCTGAAGCGAAACCCAGCATCCAACTCTTTTGTGTATCCCCAAGACTCCTGTCAAAAATGCAGCAGATGACCTCTTTCCAACGCCCCCTCATAACATATGCAGTGTCTAAAACGTTGAAGTCTAATGCTACTTTGCTCCCTAGATGGCTTCCTCGCCTCCAACATTGGTCACCGCTCTATAGACCTTGCGGTGCATTTCTAGGAAGACGAATGTACAGATGGTTTGGCTATAAGATGGTTAGTCGATTATTAGCGTTTAAGGAGAGACGTCGGAAAAACTCACGGCCCAAGCCTCAAGAAACTAGGCACCCAGCCCTTGAACATCCACCCCAGACCCTCTGTCTTGTAAATCTTGGCCAGGGTGTGCGCCAGCCCCTCCTGCGTGGTCGCGGACATGACGCGGGTCTTGATGACGTCGATCGGGCTCGTGACGGTCGCGGCCATGACACCGGCGAGGAAGCTCGCTGTGAAGTGGGTGGTGAGGTTATCGCCCATGGGCGTGTGCCTGATGAGCATGCCCTTGAAGGTGTCGTAAGATGCGAGCTGGGAGGCCGTCATGGCGGCGGCGCGCATGCTGTTGGGCAGCACGCCGCGGAACCAGCTCATGATGCCCTCCTCGCGCGCCATGCGCAGCATGCCCTCGAGGGCGTGGTTGTAGTTGCGGCGCTCGGCGGCGGGCAGGGCGGCGTCCTGCTGCATGCGCACGTTGAGCACGTCGGCGGCGTTGCCCGAGATGCCGCCGACGAAGCCTGAGGCGGAGGCCATGGCAACGAGGACGGGGAAGGCCGGGGCCTTGCCGTTGTTCTTGCGGGTCGCGCGGACCTTCATCTCCTCGTAGGCGCCGAAGCGGACGGTGGAGTAGGTCATCTGGCGGAGGAGGGAGGCGGAGAGGCCGTTGTAGAGGCCTGTGATGCCGTGGTTGCGGACGATGTGGGCGAAGGTGCCGACCATGTTCTTTGGCGCGTCGGGACGGCGGACCTGCAGGCGGACCTATGCATTTTCTTGGTAAGTATGAATGATTCGTTCGGGATTGCATGTTCGTCACGGCAATTGAGGCGTTCGTGATTGTGTGCTGGTGGTGTTGTTCGGGCGGATGCGTACCTTGACTGAGACATCGTCAGCATCCTGTAAGCTCCGGCGTTGCGATATCGCAGGTGCTTATCATGCACACACTTGCTCGATCACAAGCA